CCTCAGCTGCCACAGGGCTCCTGCCCTCCAGGGCTCCACCAGGAGCAAACGCTCAGTGCATGCACCCGAGCTCTTGCCCTGCCACCCCAAATGTTACCTCAGTAACCCAGTGTCTTGCCTTCTTCTCTAACCCCCCCCTTCCTCCTGAGCCCCCTCAGCCCCCGTTTCCCCTGTGCCTTGTTCTCCTCTTGGTGGGGTTTCCTATTCCCAGACCTCCAGGGACGTCCCGATGACGAAGAGCAGGTCTGCCCTGGGGAAGTCTGTCAGGTGGAGGAGGAAGCGCTGTGGGAGCTCCTCACCAAAGAACACAATGTCAGGCTTGACCACTCCAGTGCAGACAGGACAGCGAGGGACCTTCTCTGCCAGGACGTCCCCCTGAGCAAGAGCAGCCAACACCACCTGTCACGGGGCTGCCTGTACCTGCACAAGCAGGGCCAGAACCACAACACAGCCTCACAGCAACACCCAGTCCTCTATGAGAAAACCTCTTGGCCCTGAGGGTGAAGTAACAGCCCCACAACAGGTTCTCCTGGTGTTAATTTCCACATCCATGCCTTGCTGTGACCACTCACCCTGAAGTCCTCTCCTGGGAAGTTCCTTCGGCAGACGGTACACGTGGCAGTGGCAAAGGTGCCGTGGGCTTCCACCAGCTTGTCAGGAGGGATCCCAGCAACTGCAGCACAGCACGGGGCAGAGGGCCAGCTCAGCGTGAGGAGACTGAACCAGGAACTCCTCCCTCACCAGGTGTCTCTGCAGTCCTGCTCCTCGCCCTCAGCTCTTCCCAGCACTCTGTTGCTGAGGGAGGGAAGCCTCACCTCTCTCCAGCCCGTCGATGTTCTGGGTGTAGAGGCGCAGGAGGAGCCCCTTGTCGTGCAGGAGCCTGAGGAAGTAGTGGGCATAGTTGGGTCTGTAGTTGCCAGGGTAGAGCTCCTTGGCCAGAGTGAAGAAGGGCTTGGGGTTAATGAAGAAGTAGGTCAGCTCGAAGATGGCTTCTGGGTAGGGGATGTTGTACTGCTCCAGGTTGCTGTAGAGGCCGCTCCCCGGGGACCTGCAGAGTGGGGAGAGAGGGCTGGCAGCTGGAATGCAGGAAGAGCTGCCACCCCCCACAGGGGGAGGGCAGACACCAGCCCCTGGGTTCCCCCTGGCTGCTCTGTGCTGCCCCTTGTGTGCCAAGAGAGCAGCTGAAAGCACCGCTGTGCATAGGGAGGACCTGCCTTGTGCCCCTGCTCTGGGCCACCCCACCAGGTCCCAGCTGCAGAGCTGTGCCCACGGTTAGAGGAGGGGAAGGGCCACCCTGCTGCACCCTGAGGGCCTCTCGAGCCCATGTCAGCCACGCTGGCTTTCTCTGGTGACCAAGGTGGTGCACTGGGGACAGTCACTTAACCCTGAAGCTGTGGCTGCCCCATCCCTGGCAGTGTTGAAGGGCAGGTTGGATGGGGCTTGGAGCAGCCTGGGCTGGTGGGAGGTGTCCCTGCCCGTGGCAGGGGTGGGACTGGATGAACTTTAAGGTGCCTTCTAACCCAAACCATTCCATGATTCCATAAACGGCCCAAAGTCCAACAGCTGATCTCAGCCTGCCTCTAGCTGGAGAAGGAGGGTCAGTGGGCAGGGACACTCCTGTGCCCTCCCCAGCCTGGCACACCAAATGAGAGGAGCAGCGAGCACTAGTTCACCTCAGCTGAACATCGTGGCCCTCCCAGCACTGCAAAGAGAGAGCAGGGACCTGGAGGCCTCACCTGAAATCCGGGATGCCGCTGGGGGTGCTGATCCCTGCTCCAGCCATCACCACCACCCGCCGACACTCCCTGCTCCGGATCATCCCTGCCACGTCCTGCAGGGTGAGCCGCTCCCCGCCCG